AGAAAATCAGCCTCCTCTTGGCTTATATCGAAATCCTCCGACATTTTTCTTTACAAATCCTTGGTTTCTACTTCTAATTTGTGACCGGCATTTTGTTTTGTTCTCTCTCCGCATTCGTCACTAATCACTCTACGTCGACGTCCTCCGCTGGAACGGCTTCCGCGTATGACCAGGACAATTTTTAATATAACTCCGATATGATTCGTCTGAAAGAAGAAAGTCATATACACCTAGGATGCCTCGAGGGTGAGTAAAACACAGGCTAATTTTCATTTTTGGGTGAACTAACCCTTTTAAGGACTGTTAGAAGCATATTTAATTGTACCTGTATTTACTGTAAACAACTAATAATTCTTTGGATAGCAGATATCTAATGGTGACTTTATTGGAAAGAAGTTAAATATTTAAATTGAATAAAAACATTAAACCCCGCACATGAGCCCATAGTTTCAACAAGTAATTACAGGTAATAATAAACATGATTTAAAAGTAAAAAATTAAAAAATCTCTCCATACCTATGCAATGACTCTTTTGGGAATCAACCAGAGGGCATCTTCACCACACAGCTGTATTCCTGCTCCTGAAGTGAAAAAGAAAATGAAACATAAGAAACAAAAGCAACAAAAAAAAAAACATGCATTCATATCAGTATTCGTAAAATAAGTCTTACTGGAATGCCAAGCTGCTCCACATCCAGATCCATCAGTTTCATCTCATAGTCGGACACTTTCTCCTTATCTGAAAACACATTCAAAGTTCAGCAAGTGCTCTTACTATTATAACTCACAGCACAGTACACTATCAATAAAATATAGCCAGAAAAAATAGATAAGCCACATTGCAACTCTTTTGCCTAATTTTAGGTTAAATATGTAACAACTAGTCACTAGTGTAATAAAGTCTTGTGAACTCACTGAGTGTTTCAAAGACAAGCGCCAAAGAGTCTGCATTGTCTTCTGCCCTAAGTGTGATGATATCTTCATTTCCAGCACACTTCAGAATCTTTGACATGCTAGAAAACAAGAATAAAATAATTAGAATAAAACACTCAGTTTTGGCACTTTTTATTGAAACATACATAGATTTGCATTCTGAATCAAATTAATCCACGCTGTTACAAAAAAAAAAAACAGTTTCCCTTTTAAAACAATTATTATACAGTCGAATGTTTGACTGTCAGTTAAAAATCTGGTTCACGTCTTTTTTGACGAAGTTTTTATTGTTATTATGAAGTCCTATTGTCATTCGGCAACCCGGCTTTTTCGCGCCAACCAGCTAGAGCGCGGGTAAATGACGTCACGCTCAGCAGTGAGGGGAGAATGCAGGGAACACTCTACGCGCCAAATAATACTAAACCTTTTTGAACTGCAATTATTCGGGATACATTAAAACAGTATTTCAACAATACTAATTATCGGGAAAGGAATAACACCCATTTTTACATCTTACAAATGGCGGGCTCCTCGCGCAGCCGGGCATGAACAGACATGTTCAGCTTTCACGGTCTAAGCGGTTACATGGCAAATAACACTAAGCTCGCATCATTTCCATCAGTACCTGCTCAAATTGACACCCATGGCCAGGTTTCTGTCGCAGCGGTAGGAGTCGAACCCATCACTCCGGAGCGTGAGCTGCACCAGAGACACATGAGACGAATCCATGCTCTGCAGCGAGATCCCCGAGGAGCTGACATCCCAGCAGGCTTCGGTGATGAGGTCTTTCAGAGCCTCCAGAACCTTCTTAAGGATTGATCCTTGAACGAGACGTGCCTCAAACATTGTGCTTCTTTTTTTATGGGAGGAGGAAAAAAAGTTATCCAATTCCTGTTATGACACAAGCGCCGCCTGGCTTTCTGCTTGTCTTCAAGTGCAGGAACGCAGTAATTTTAGACTATCAAAGTGTTTTAGCAGTAGCACGTACAAATCCAAAGACTCTAAAAGAAACACAGGCGTATCTGTCCCGTCTAGTCTTCTCTCGAGGCTCTGAATGTAACTGCGCGCGCTTTTGCTGGGACTTTCATAAACTGGCCCACTGACTCTTGCCTTCGTCATTTCCTGTAACGCTGGACTCCTCCTGGAACACGGACGGAAGTGCAGCCACTGACCACAAGAGGGCGTCATTTTACACGCATTTAGTTGAGTTCTACGTGAGCTTGTGCTTTGTCAAAGCAGTAACTAATAATTAGTACTAATTATTATTATTAGTAGTAGTAGTAGTAGTACTAATAATTAATTATTTTTTAGAATGTTTAAAACGGAAATGAAATTACTAAAAAATTGAGGACAGCATTTAAGAGAAACAAAGGCCGAAATTAAAAAGAGATCCTACATATGACATGAATATCTGGGTGTATGTAAAATCTATCTATCTATCTATCTATCTAACTATCTATCTATCTATCTATCTGTCTGTCAAATGTAATGCTCCTGCAATGTGACAAATGAATATTGAAAACTTTGAATTTTGAACTGCAGCAATTGGCCACAAGAGGGCACCATTTCCAACGTCAATTATTCATTTGAGCATTTCTTTTTTGGCGTTATTGCAGTAAACCGCAACGAAAACCGCATAAATTAAATTAAATTAAATCAACTACATAATTAATATGAAGTCATAAAAGTGTATAATAATTATACATAGATTTAGATTAACTATATTATATCAGTTTATATTATATCATAATTTATACAGTTATAAATGTACATGCACAATAATTATATAAAAATAGGTTGAACTATATTATAGATGAACTATATGTATGTATATATATATATATATATATATGTGTGTGTGTGTGTTATAAAAGTGCATGTATAATAATTATACTATATTACTGATGAACCGTCACAGTGCAGAACACTATATAAGAGGTATGTTGTTACCATATGTTATCTAGATTTATGAAAACTGCAAAAATAAAGTTAAAAAATTAAATCAACTAGGCCTACAAAATTAATATGTAGCAAACTATAAACATGCGTGTATAATAATTATACATAGATTTAGATTAACTATATTATGTCAGTTCAGAACACTGAGAAAACTGATAAATATAATGATGCATTGGGCAATTAGCTTTTCAACATTTTATACAAAGTTATAAAAGTGCATGTAATAATTATATAAAAATAGGTTGAACTGTATTATAGATGAACTTTGAAACATTTCACAACAGCTATTCGTTTGCAGTCTCCTGCATTAAATGCTGAAAGCAATCTACAGCATGACCTCAAATTGTGTGTCTAAGCATTCCTCCATAACATGTTCTAACACACACAGAGTAGGGAATATTAGATCATCTGTTCAAGTGTGCATGATAAAGTTGTTGGAATGCGATCGAATGGTGATTCAAGAAATGCTGTTGCTGCGGGTTTCTTGTTTTCCCACTTTAAATTTAAATTAAATTTATGCATTTAGCAGACGCTTTTATCCAAAGCGACTTACAGTGCATTCAGGCTATACATTTTTTATCAGTATGTGTGTTCCCTGGGAATTGAACCCACGACTTTTGCGCTGCTAACGCAATGCTCTACCACTGAGCCACAGGAAAAAAAAATTAGCCCCCAAACTCCTGAACCCACCCAACTAAAGTGGGGTGGAATTTCCCAATGCTAGTAAACAACTGTAAAAGAGTCTCTGATTTAAAAGCCCCTATCGTGACTGCCAAGTTCCCTGTGAAGATTGCGATACCACTACTGCAGAGTTGACCTAAAACCCAATTCTGAGTCACTCTGAGCCCTCAAGACTTTGACTTTGTGTTTCCCAAGAGACACACACTCCACATCCATCTATGTTTATTCAAACATCCGCTAGGCTGTTCTTCTCTGTATTAAATTATAGCTGTAGCGCCATCTTTTTTTTTTCTGGGAACTTGGAAGAGTGGCAGGATATATGGAAATGAACCATAACAATATGAACAGGAAGGAAGCGTAGGCCGGTCAGTCCTGGGGAACATGGGGAGGGAGTTCAAGTCCAACACTTTCTTTTCGGCTTGCAGTCCCTTGAGATTACATCAGCCACTGCTGCAGGCATGTGCAGACCACAATGGCACTTTCAACTAGATAAACAACTGTCTTAGCAGTTGTCCAAAATGCTAACTTTTTTGAAAAATTTGCTATTTTACACTGAAATAATACTAAATGACAATTTGGTTATTGTAATAAAGGAACAAGATTCACTTTAGAAAACAAATTATTGCTTACGCAGGACAACACAACAGCCCTTACAAAAGAAGAGAATACTAGCATTCAGGTTGAAATAATTAAAAGAAAATAAATAAATAAAAATATTTGGAAAAAAAGTTGTGAAAAGAGACCAGATTTCGATAAATAAAATAAGGCATTAGAAATTTGGCCTTTTTATTAAGAAAAAAATATAAAATATATATCTGTGGGTGCAAGAAGAGTAGCTTTTCTGTGCAGCAAAAATAAAATGCAAAAATTAAAATGTAACTGGGTGGAATTTGGGAGACAGAACTTTGATCAATATAATGATGCAACAGAAAATCCACTCTTCAATTTGGAAATAAAATATTAAAAATGAACTGGGCGGAAGTTGTGAGGCAAAACCCTGATAAATATATCCACTGAATTAGCTTTTTAAAATACAATTTAAAAAAGTAACTGGGTAGAAGTTGCGAGACCAAACTTTGAAAAATATATATGATGCCTCAAAAATGATCTCTTCAAATTTTGAATAAACTTATATTCCTAATGAAAGTTAAAAACGAAAGCGGGGGGGAAAAAGTAGGGCACATCTGGTTTTACTCACAAAGCTTTTTGTGCTGACATACGCACAGTCATATGGAGGGGATTAAAAGGTTTTGGATAAATACCAGGTTTCTGTGTTTGTGCAATAAATTTCTTATAATGGAATTCATGGGGACCAATGCACAGATGAGGCTTTCTCTAAAAATAAACAGTCCGTGTCTAGGTTCTCAGTTTCCTGACTGTAGGTCTGACGTCATGTTGAAGCAAAGCAGAGGGGACGTGCAACTCCAGCCAACTTTCGGCAGGATCAAGCCTGAGACAAGAGCCGCCCCCTCAGCTCCCCCTATCCTTTCTCACAGTCAACAGGAAAGACAGGGCCAGAACTCTGAGAGAGCAGGGAGAGAAGAGACGAAGAGAAGAACATCATACAGAAGATCGCACTAGATGTCCAACAATCTTCCCCCACAGGACAAAATGGACAAGCAAAAACTGAGGGCTGAAATCAGTCCTCGAGTGTCCAAGAACTCTGCGCAGCGCCTAAGCAGGGATCTCACCTGCTCCATCTGCCTGGACCTGTTCAAGCGCCCTGTTTCCTTGCCGTGCGACCACACTTTCTGCGAGGCCTGCATTACGAGTTACTGGAGCGGCCCTCGTGGAAAAGGCCAGGGTGGGTCTGGCTCCTGTCCTCAGTGCCGGAAAGTCTTTCCAGGCCATAGCTACAGACCCAACCGCATCGTGGCCAACATCGTGGAGAGCTACTGCCAGGGGATCGAGGAGAGTGGGGGTTGGCTGACCGGGTTGTCAGCAGACACGGTTCCTCCGACCCCACTTTGCAGCCGACACAGAGAAGAGCTGAAGCTGTATTGTGAGGAAGACCACGAGCTGGTGTGTCTGGTGTGTGGGATCTCTCAGGATCACCGGGCTCACACGCTGGTGTGCGTGCAAGATGCACAGCAGAGATATCGGGTAAGAATCAAAGACACGTTTTCTAACTTCCTCAGCTCAGCTGAAAGCTCATGTTGTTTGTGTTGAACAGGCTTCTCTGACCACTTCAGCAAATGCTCTTCAAAAAGAGCTCAACACTGCTCTAGAGTGTGAGAGAGAGACTGAAGAGGAGGTGAAGAAACTGAAGGTAAGAAGAAACTAAACCTCATGCACACTCTCCAATACCTCTTAAATGGAAAAGCATTGGAAATGATTCCTAATCCTAAACTAACACCTAATCATCTAAATTCTTGACCCTTTCCAGTAAGTAGTAACTTGTAGGTTCAAAATTATAGGCCACTCCAATACCTCTTAAATGGAAAAGCATTGGAAATGATTCCTAATCCTAAACTGACTAACACCTAATCATCTAAATTCTTGACCCTTTCCAGTAAGTAGTAACTTGTAGGTTCAAAATTATAGGCCACCCGAAAATGAAAAGTCTGTCATCATTTAGATTTTTTAAAACCAAGGTTCCAAAAGAATGTTTTTGCAGTGATGCCATAAGAAGAACCATTCCGAGGCTAAACATCACCTCATATTCTCTTGTTTTTGTACCCAGGACCACACTGCAGATCTGAAGCAGAGAATCGAGGCACAGTCTGACTCTTAACTTTTATAAAAAATATCTCTTTGGATTTGAGACTTTAGTCTTTGCAACTTTACAGATCTTCTTTATGCACCAAGAACTTGTAACACTCCAAAGAGAAAGGAAAAATTGAAATCGCATTATATGACCCCTTTAAATAATCACTTCAATAGTTAACTGCTAACAGAAAGCTCTGTGGGATATCACTTGGGTCAACACAGGATACAATGTAATGATCTCACCCTTGCAATAGGAAGATAATGCCATTAGTGCAGCAGAAGGGGATTTTCCAGAGTCGTGGATGAAAAAAGGAGGTGTAGCTTAGTTTCAAACACTGATCTCATGTGGAAAACTTCTGTCCCTGCCTCTCGAACTGAGCCAATTTCATCAATCTCCTTTTTCCTGTCTTTTTTGCAGAGTATAAAGGGCCTGCTTCAAAGGTGAGAGACCTCTATGGATCTGTTACAATTAATATTTTCACGAGGAAGCGCTTGAGTTATTTTTGTGTCTGGGCTTGTGTTGTTTCAAGCAGGCAGCCACCGAAGTTTGAGAAGCCGGCGCTGACGCCACCCAGACTGTGTGAGGGCCGCTTTGCTGGGCCCCTGCAGTACAGAGTGTGGAAGTCACTGAAGGGAAGCATCTATCCAGGTTTGAGAATGATCCTAAATGAAAAATGAAGTTAAATTTGAATTTTCACATGTTGAATCAAGCTGTGTAAATAAACATTAAAGGACTAACCTCCAATAAAGGAATAACCAAAAATGCTGAAAATGTTCTTACCTTCAGGCCATTAAAA